TAGCATAAATACATAAAATCTTGTTCATAGATGATACAAATCCAGCTGGCAGCACCTCTACAGCGTACTGTTGTCCTAATAATAGAAGTGGTCACACAAAACCAGTCAGTTAAAATAGTTATTGGAAAAGTGATGCTGGGTGTTCTTTAGGATGAGCACGCTGCAAAATGTGCGTGTGTGTGTGTGTGTGTGTGTGTGTGTGTGTGTGTGTGTGTGTGTGTGTGTTTTTTTTGTGCGTGAGTGTTTTGTGATCACCTGATCGGTTGTCTTGGCTTCGAAGCATCACTTCCTCCACACAGTCGGAGGGGAACCAGCCTGTGCGACCCCTGACCGTCCCCTCCCAGTACCCGCCCTCGCCAACACTCAGCACTAGAGGGGGTGGAAGGAAATAGCAGCATGTCAGGAGGACAAGGAAACACAACACACACACCAGCACACACACACAGAAACACACACGCACACAGAAACCGAAGACAACACACGTAAAAAGACAACAGCATTATACAGACAGAAAATAAATCATGTAGACGCACAAACAGACATGCAAACCCTTCTACATACTAACCAAGACATACATACCTGGCAACACCTTAGACTTACTCACAAACACACACATATTCATACCTGCAGACATTGAATACAAACATACAGTATGTAGAGACCGAACACACTCACGTCAGGACATTTTACAAAGACATGTGGAGACACCTGGCTTGGGTTACATCTGGTGATAACAAGGTAGTATGAATACACTGATGTTGTTTTTAACAAGAAACTTTTCAGGAAACGCCGATGTGGCATCCCATGCTGTTCATGTGCCGAGCGTGACAGATGATGTGACACATCGGCCACAACACTAAAACAAGCAGATTATGTTTAAAGCTCATATGAGGAGTTTTTAACTGGTTATCAAACTGAGTTAATTTAACACTCATGCCTTTATATTAAAAAGTAAAAAAAAGACCATCATCTTGAATTCCTGAACCTGCTGCAGCATCCTTTTTTTTTTTTTTACATTTTCAGCAGCACATTTTCACAGAGTGAGGAATATCTTTGACTATTTAGTGAGGGCTGGATGAGATGTTTAGTCGGTAAATAAACACTTCTTACTCATCTACAGGATTTTTTTCAGTAGAGAGAAAGAGGCACTAGCCTGCAGGTCGCCAAATCTTAACAAAGCGAAAGTTCCTCACAGGCGCTTGAAGCTTTTGGTGTTGTGGTCACTGTAGTATTAGGTGATGTCAGGTAGATTGCTATGTTCGTGTTTGTTAAGCTCACTATATCAGTTAACTTTATTGTGTTAGCTTAAAAGCTGCTAATTCAATCTCAGCTCTGAAATTGTTAAACCCCTGCAGTCAGCAGCCTGTATTACTTAAGTAACTTTTTGGGGCTTTGCCAAAGCCTTAAAAGAGAGAGTCTGAACAGAACTGTACATGTTGGCTGTTGTACTGTAGTATTCAGTTTGCCTCTGATGTTTCTGAATGTTCCTGTTTTTAATTACTACACAGGTTTGGATTTCAAAGCGGTCCGTATGATTATAGTGGAGTTTTATTTTTATATAAACAATCTTGTTAAAGAGGGAAACACATGATCACACACCTATCTAGTGTCTATTTTTAGCAGAACATCATTTTCATTTCATGTCACTCCTGTCGTGTTAACATCTCCTCACAAACACTGACGCCCAAAAAAACAGCCACTTTTAAATCACATGGAAGACAAAATGCTGCATTATGTTCCAGCCAACACACGAACATCACACACACACACACACACACACACACACACACACACACACACACACACACACACACACACACACACACACACACACACACAACACCACACACACACACACACACACACACACACACACACACACACACACACACGAACATCACACACACACACACACACACACACACACACACACACACACACACACACACACACACACATCACACACACACACACACACACACACACACACACACACACACACACACACACACACACACACACACACTGAGCATGTGAAAATGTACTCGGTGCTAAAACTACATGAATGCACATTTACTCACCTTTGACCCTGTCTCCCTTATTAAAGCTGATTTCTCGCTCGCCCTGGGCGGAGTGTGATCGGGTAGCTACAAAGACTCGTCCTGGGACGGCGCTGTAGAGGCGTCTCCGCTGGCCTGCAGTTTGTACAGCTGTGCTGGTGGGGGGGGCGGGCCTGTGGGAGGGGGCAGAGGGTTTGTCTTGGGATGTATGAAATTAACTTATGAATGGAATTTTATCATTGAATTGTTTATTTGTTTAGCGTTAGGGAAGTCTCTGTTGAACTGACTACCACAGATTGGAAATTGGAGGATTGGATTGGATGTTTGTCCACCACCTGGTTCTTTTAGTAAGTCACATTTCAACACTGACCTTTGTAGGTATGTACATTCACTTCCTCCACTTCTAAAGTAATAATATAAAGTATCTAAAGTACTAAGTATCACGTTAAATAAGAACTTAAATAATCAAACGACGTCTCAAGAGCACTTTGGTCGGCGTAGATGAACCTTTAGTATTCTGAACAGAGTACAAACTACCCAACTCCATTTGATCTGCAGAGTCCTTTTGCACCTTTAAGAAAAAGCTCTTTCATGAATACATACGCACTTAATGATTTTGATGATGATGATGGTATTGTTTAATAATGATGAGGACTTTTAGGATGGTGTTGATGCTGCAGTAAGAACAGCTGTTGATGTTGTGGTTTTTCTCTGTGCACTGCCTGTCAGCACCTGTGTGTCCGATCAGACTTAAAGCTGTTTGCACTTCCTGACGTTGTTTCCTCCTCTCTGGATCCTTGCTTGTGTTGTACTTACTCTCTGATTGTTCGTTCTGCTAAATGAATTGTAGAAATTGTAGACAGTGCAGGAGAGGTTCTGGTTTAGCCAAGGATTTCAGTCTAAGCGTCTCACCCCTGCCTCCGACTCTGCCTGCTGCGGTCCTCCTTGTCTCCGATCCGCCCTCTGGATGGGGATCGCGTTCTTGCACCTCTGGGACTGCTGGAGCTCCTCAGGGTGCCTGTATGCTTATAGCCCTGTAAGAGACAGGAAATGGAGAAAAGCAGAAAACATATTTAACAATAGTAACTAATAATAATAACATTAAATTTGATCAAATATATCAAATAGAATAATACCATTCTGTCTCATTAATCATAGTTTTATTATCATCTTTTACCATCACTGAACAGAAAAATACATCCTAAATCTTGACTTCCTGACTTCCTCATGACACATTAAAACTGCACTTAATGTACATGGACAGTTTGTGGAAAAGAACAAGATATATAGGTTGGTGCAATGAGTACTGTTCACCACCAGAGGTTGATAAAGGTCATGCTTTATATTGTATCAAACAGTTAAGAGCTCTTAATTTGTCTACAAATGTTTTGATGCAACTGTTCAAGCCTCCTCTGATGTAAAAATTACAATATGTATTTATATCATTCTTCTTTGAGATCAAAATAAATATACTGTTGACTCTTTTTTTATTGGATCCTTCAGAAGTGAACAAACCACTTCAACATGAAACAGTAAAATGTAGAAAAGCAGATTTAACATCAAAGTGGACAAACAGGAAGTGGATAAAAACAATCTCACACTCAGAAGCATCAGGCACAACACCTTTCTCCACAAAACACTGACAAAATGGACTTTGAGGTTCGATTGTTTTGTTCACTGTTTGTTTGTTTTGTGGAGAATTTTGACGTCTAATCTTGTGTTTCAGGGACACAAACACAGACCTGCACACGAGAACTGAGCAGGTTCATGCTGCTGTCGCTGTTGGCTCGGAGAAAGGGATGTGGGTGGGTATGGTGAGAGTCCGGGCACTCTCCCGCCTCTGGGGGGCGTACTTTGGAGACTCCACAAAGGGAACTGGGAGGTGAAAAAAAAGGGGGGGGTCGAAGGTGAACATAACCTATTTCTCTTTGACTGTTGGTTTTCTTCGTAAATACATTTATTTACCCTTTACACCATAAACAAGTATTTTTCATAGCGATGACCACATGCTGTGTCTCTATAGCAAATGCTTTGAGTTATAGAATTTGTCATATCTGTTTAATGTATTTGTTGATTTAAGTCCCAAATTCTCCTCATGAATAAATCATTTTAGAATATAAGAACTAAGCTACTTTGATAGCTACTTACTGCTACTTACCCACATCTGTATCCCGATGATTCTTGATTATTTTCCCCAGCTCAAAATGGCCAGACACAACCGCCTGATAGAAAACACACACACACACAACACACACACACACACACACAATCAGATGAAAATGAAATATGGGGGCTTTAAGAAAGGTTTTAATGAAGGATTATCGATTCTCTGTAAGAAACATTTTAAAGAGTCTAAACTTGTCGCTCTACTAGGAGAATAAGAAGTTGGTCTGGTAGCTGAAGAGGTGCCTGATGCAGCAAAGATGGATCATCTATACAGAAACACTCAACTAGTGATTCCTTAAAGTTACAGGATATCTGGATCTAAAAAGTCAGGTGAGGATAATCCCCTGGTGTCTTAAACAAGAATGACACAAACATATGAGTGCTCTCATATGCAAAACACATTTTTGTATTCTTTCCACTTTTGCACTAATGCCTCTGATAAACTGCACAGGTCAGCGAACAATCCTGCAGACTTCAGTGCCATCTCTGTGTTTTTCCTCTTTTATTCGCCACTCACACCCAAACACATCAGAGAGTCCAGCTGGCTCTTTGTGCTCCGACAGAGTTAATGTATCCACATTCTGGGGTCACACACAATCACTGCACCTGAGACCTCTGCATGCCTGCATGCCTGCCAGCAGAATAATGGTTTAAAGTGAAATTAGGCCCTGGCACTTTCTGCTACGTTAACTTAATAAGACACTCAACAATACAAACAGTCAACATGCATAATTATCCAGCCACGCAGTAAGCCATTACCTGAAAGGGGGTCTGCCACTGTTGTTCTTTGTGTCTTTGTTTGCGCCCCTGTAGAGGAGAATTCGTGCACAGCTTTCCTACAACAAAAAACTGATTAACATATATGATCATTTAAAATATTGTGTTTAATCACTCTTTAGTACAGAGATGTTTGTGGTGTATTCCCATGTCTGCACTTTGTAATTCAGTTATCTCTTCTTTGACTTTATGCTATTAATGCTCTTACAGGCTAACTGTTGAATATCAAATATTATAGAAAACATGCTTTAAAAGCAGAGTGGAGCAAATATTCAAGAATTTTAAGTCATCATTTAAAAGCTGTTTGGCAGACATGTGTAGTCAGTGATTTTTTTTTGCAACCACATAGTGGCAAAACATGTAAATATTCATACTTAATCGCCCATGAAAAATTCAAATACCACATTTTAGAGTTATTAGAGTTATGGTTTGTTTATATTTTTCTAGTCAATGTATTATCATCTTCTTTTTTGTTACTGTAAATAAAAATTGAAATTGGATATCAGGCTGCTGAACATAAAAGGTAAGAGTGCCTCTTCTGTTCCTTTTATTTTGTGTTAGTATTTATTCCAAGAAGGAAGCGGATATATCCGAACATTTTCTCTTGAAGAAAAAACTTGCTGTACCTTGTTGTATAAAGCACAGATGTGCAAGGCAGTGTTTCCAGAGGCATTCTGGGAGGAAGAGTCCGCACCATAGAAGAGGAGATGCTCCAGATGCTGCGAGTTTCCATTCTGACAGGCCTGAGTGATGAAAGAGAGAGAGAGAGGGACAGAGAGAGAGAGAGAGAGAGAGAGAGAGAGAGCACAGAGTTAATAAGGAGGTATAAAAAAAAAAACCAAGATGTACTGAAGAGTGAAACAGGAAGGATTCATGTGGCTGTTTAATAAAGAGGACAGAGGAGGAGAAGCAAACAAGGATGTAGAAGAGACAGTGACAGAGTCAGACTGTTATAAAGTGACACACATTTAATTAACACACCTCCAAAACCAAAGGGTGAGAAAACAGTGAGGGAACATCGGCCGGGTCCAATAATGACAATATTCTTAGAGCAATCCTAATCATACTGAAATGATGACAACAAGGAGACACACGTTCAGAGACAGTAACTTTGTTAAAGAGTCATTTGACTTAACAGTTTAATACTGTTCAATCATAAGCTACTGAAGTTATTATCATTTGTACTCAGGCCACATTACATCATCATCTCATCTCGACACATTATTTTATTTTTATGGAAACATTGATGTGTGTCACCATGATTATGTAGTCTACAGGTGGCAATAAAAGAAAACTAATTCTGGTTTTATTGCTCTATCTTATTGTCATTGTACTTATAATTTAGGCAACCATAGAAAAATACACATTTAAAGATATTAAGTGTGTGTACAAATATTAGCTTTATGGATATCTGATCAAATGTCAGTTTAAATGCTAAATGTAAAGGTGAAAACTTAACTCAACATACATCCACACAGACAGTATACCATGGAGGCTGATTGGAAGAGGCTGATACCTTTATTTTTCTGTCCACTTCAATGCTGGAATATGAGGCTAAAGAAGCAGGGTGGATGGGTGAGATGAAGGGTGAAGGGTGTCCGAGATGAGAGGTGTGGTGTTTCACGGCATGAAGGGTTTTTTAGACGTAAACATGCAGACGCTGGAACACAGAGCACACTGGTACATTACAAACAGGAAGAGAGGAACACAAGCAACAGAAACTGAAACTCCAAATCAACCCTAGTCTGATATTTTGCCCTGTGCTGTAACATCATTGTGTTCCCAACCTGAGGTCCACAACCCCTTGAAGGGCCCTAAGGCTCTATGGTGGTGGGAGGAAGCTTTATCTGCTCTGCGTTTGTCATGATTGTCGTCAATATGTGCAAATCGTATGTTGACATCACATTTACTGCATAGTTTGGTAAGAGTAAGTGTTTATAGTGTAGGCCCATTCTGTTGGGATTTTATCAATGGAAAAAAAAAAGACAGCAATGCGTGACTTTTTTTATACTAGGAGGTCCTAGGGGGGCTCAGGACTCGTTTGGGAACCTCTGGTTTGCAACACAACTCTTAAATAGATCTAAATCTGTATTTATATCATCCTTATTCTACTACCCAGCTAAGACTCTCCACCTGAAGTCTATGAAGAGCCAGAGCACACACATGTACCTGATGTGTCTCGTCCCAGCCGTTCTCGTCCCTGATGCCCAGCTTGGCGTGGTGATAAAGGAGTGTTTCACAGCAGGAGGTGTCTCCCCCTGTCAGCACAGTGTGGTACAGCGGCGTTAGCCCCGCCGGTCCTTATAGTCAGGTGACGCACCGAGAGACAGAAGGACCTGCGAAACGACACAGCAGAAACGATAAGGCCAATCTTAAATACCTGCAGCCATGAATACAATAACACGGAATAATGAAGCGTGCAATTATCACTCTGCAGTAAACTTACAGTGACGTCTATTAACTAACAACACAACAATAAAAATGCAGCAATGACAAGTTTCATAATGGGGTTTAGAATTTCAAGTCGGGGAATATTCATGGATTTTATATCAGGTTTGGCGCTCACAGCCGGGGGTTCAGGTAGGTCATTAAAGACCTCAGGGAAGAGAGAATAATGTATTCAATCAATCTGCTGCTCTAAGTCTTTTTTGCCGTTTAGCAGCTGTTTCTTTTCTTTACGGGAAACAAAGTCTCTGACAATGTGGCACATGTCATTATCTCCCTCTGAATGACTTTCCCCTCTTCAGGTTGGTGCATGTCTTCCTGGCTGAAGATCTGGACGTATGCCTAACAGCAGACAGCTTTAAAACCTTTAAGCAATATGACATTTTTTGGGGGCATTTTTGCCTTTCATAGATAGGAAAGCTGAAGAGAGACAGTTAAATGCCGGGAGGAGAGAGAGGGAATGACATGCCGCAAAGGGCTGAGGTTGGATTTGAACCCACGGCCGCCGGGACATGGGGCGCGCGACACAACCTATAGTCCATTGGCGCCCCAAGCAATCTGAATTTTAATGTCTTTCTTTTCTTGAATAGATGAATGGGACTTTGGTCCATGTACATTTTCTGCATTAATAACAGTATTTCTGGATTCACTCCTTTTTCAGGCACAACAATGAAAATGTGATATGATAAGTGCGTCTTTATCAGAGGACCACTATTGTTGGTGAGTATTTACCAGCAGGGCTGTATGGCGGTGGCCTCGAACAGCCTTGTGTATCGGAGTGAGTCCATCTTTGGAACGAAAGTCGATATGAGACCCTCCCTCCACCAGGACTCGAATGGACTCGCCTCCACCCGGCTCACATTGCACTGCCAGGGAAAGAGGAGTCTCTGACGGACACACACAGAAAAACAAACACAGCTTTTAATAGTTTAGAAGGATTGTGATACAGCAGGGGTCTGAAAATCACTTCATTTAGAGGTCAAACTGTTTGCACTTAGAGGGGGGTGCTGAAAGACTAAATTATACATTTGAACTTTTTACTCTTCTGTCTTTGCTTCAAGGTTAAGCTCTTTGGACACCAGCAGCTTTCTCCTTGCAGGTTAGACAGAAAACAAACATAACAAACTGTGTCAGGTTCACAGCAAGGGGATTTGTTTTTGTTTTTTGTGCCAAAAGTCATTATTCATACCCTTGATGTAAACCAACCTCTTAAATGCTTCTTAAGAAGACAATATATTAAGATTCAAGGGTACAAGCCAACGACTGTAAAACAAAAAAAAGGGTATATAATTGCAGCTTTCTTCATAAACTTTTTTGATCATAAATCTGAAAAAAATATATCTTTCAAAAAATGATCTATAGGACAGACTGAAAAAACAAAGTTCACTCCTTTAAATAGGAAAGAATCAGGAATAGAAGTCTTCAGGTAGGCGAGCTGCACTACTGTAGGCAGTGTTCTCACTTAATGCCTGCATGCTAACTAGCTCTTAATGACAAAGCTAGCATGAGAGCAGGTATGTTTTTGAAGCTCGACATTTAATTCAGCAATTAAGCATGCTTGCATCTTCATTAGCTCCAAAAACAGAAAAACTGTCCTTTTAAGAAAGTTGAAGTCTGACTTTAACCGGTTTTATCTTGTGTTTTTAAACTGCTGTTTATCTTATTAGTATAATCAGTAACTAAATCTACCTCAAGGCTCTAAAGATTCTTAAGAAGACAGTGGAACTAAAGTACCATTAGGAGATATTTCAGAGACTTAAAAGAGGACACACTCTGTATAAAGACATAAGACAGTTACCCGGGGATAGAAGAGACCTGCCATCATAGGGAGGATTTAGGTATTATATCAGTTTGATTCTGGGGATGCTTAACTCCACACGCTGATACATTTCAACAAACTGTCAAGATTCCTGCACATGTTCAGAATCATCTCTGTTAAAATAAAATAAAAGCCTCTCTGGAGAGTGCCTCTGATCATTGGTTTCATGCAAACAGGTTGCGTCGTTAGCTTCCAGGTAAATGCTGACAAAATCTGTTTTCTCCAATGGATGCACTGGTACTCTTCCACAACTGCTGACATCAAAGAAATCAGCAAAGAAAAAAAACCAAAAAAAAACTAGTATTTTAAAACGTGTGTAAAGCTGTGTCACAATACTTTCAATCACACTTAACCCACTTGAAAACTGTTGAGCTGCAAAGTTCAATGACACCTGGAAGAATGAAGCATTCAGAGTGTTCCCAGCCTAACAAGTTACAGAGCGCTGGCTGCCATGGCGACAAGAGTTTTTGGCAGAGCGGAAAACGACTGAGAGCTTTTATCTTCCAACAGATCTCAGGTAGTCAGATAATTCGGGGGGGGGGGAATGTTGTGACTACTCTTTCTCTGAAGTTGCCGTGTCGGATGACTTGGGGGATGCCCATTAAGCAGTTCCCTTTGGCAAACATGGAAGTGAACATGGAGCCGTGCTGAATGTGCTAGGTTATTTTATGATGCATGAAAGACGCTCGGTGTGGCCTCCTGCTGGATGGGAAAGCATGAAAAAGAGTTTCTGGGGAGACGAGCCCCAGCACATGGAACAAGAAGAGATGTTCAAATAACACTTTTTATCCCTGCTGCTGATGATTCATTTGTTGGCCGACACCAGCAAGAATCAAACTTATTAGAGTGTCATTTATTACCTTCAGATTCAAATCTTGTACCAGCAATAATATAAAAGTTATGTTTAAAAACTGAAGCCTTGCCAGTTGTTCATACAGTCTTTTTTAATGGTGAGATTTTCCTCAGTAAAATATTGCCAAATGCCGACTTTTTAATAACTCTGACTAATGTTACATCCCTGCAAGCACCATAGTGTTGTGTCTGCTGGCATCACATGATCAACTCCTGCATATAGATACAGAGAGATATTTGCTGGTTCATTTAGTATCAAGCAATAGTTTTACTGTCCAAGTGACAAATCGACTACTTCTTTTCTACCTTAACTCGCCTGATCTTTGTGTGATCACCTGTGAGTACAGAATCAGAAACATCACACTCCAA